CCTTGAAGTAGGGTTGATTATTGCTTGTATTCCTCCATAGTTCAATAAAAGTCGCCGCTGAGTAGGCTGGGTAGCCGTTCGGATGGATAACTTTGTCTTGAATGCCCAGGATAGCGAAGAACGCATATATTGTAGAGTCATGCTGAAACACACCAGTTGGAAAGGCCAGAAATAGGAGTCAAGAGTTCGATTACGGAGAGCTGAAGGCACGTGCCTTCACCAGTGGCAAGTAGACTCTCTTCCGGAGAGGGTTACTGGAGGTTGTACTTGACCAACCAAGCCCCGGCATACCGCACACAGGGTACAGCACCGTAGGGAGTATCCTAGTGGGTCGTATTCAGTGGCTGGAGAGAAGGACCGTATTTGCCTTCAAGAAGAAATCCTCTCGTCCGCTAAGAAATCAACAATTAATTGCTCAATTCTCTTTGGTTTTCTTGTTTCATGTTCGTTACGTACATACCCTCCCCCCCCTCCTCGATGCCAGTACTGCAGAACTACCATACAAGCATTATTTCTAGTACATAGACATAGTGGCTGATTGGTGACGCCGCCTCCCCGCCCCAGTACTCGGCAGTTTTCTTGCTGTAAATCTTGCAAAGTTCCTGGAAAACTAGAGAAAGCCGTGGGAAGCTGGAAAAACTCAGATTTGGTAGGTAGGATAGTTAGGGGTAAGGGATGTCGTGCAAGATCAGAAATTTTGGTGGGAGGGGGTGGGGGTCACACTCATACAAGTACCAGGCTCTTACCGCTGAGTAGGCGTAATACTTCAAGTCGTTTATCCACTTGCATTCCGGGCTGCTCTTGTTCAAGCACTGTAGTTTGGACATCATGCGCATATAAAGCTCATTGAACATCGATCCACCCCGAATTTTCTGCAGTTCGAGTCCAATATCAAGACCATTCATGACTAGAGTTTCATCTGAAAACACTTTTCATCTTTATGCAATCCATATTCTCATCAAGATAGCTAGAAGTGGTGAGCGACGGAACTCGAAACGATTTTGACTTCGGTTTACATCAACCACTCCCACGAAGGAAATGGCCAAAGCGCAGGTGCTTACGCCCATTTAGTTCCGGGGTGAGGTTCGACGGGATGCGCTGGTTTTAAGTTTACTGACCACTTTGAGTACATTATCAACGAAGGCAGCGTTCAGACTTCGCGATGACGCTCGTCGACTCTTAGGAGCGAACACAGCGGCAGGCTGGTATCGTCGGCGCCGGTCGCTCGAGTATTGAGCGATTATGGAGGGAACAGGGTACGCACTGTCTAAACCATAGCGTGGCCCAGGTGCAAGGGCTCTAGGAATGTAGAGGAATAGAAGCATGCCGGAAGGTGTGAAGGCAGGCCTACCCTCCTGTCATTTTACACTTTCTCAAAACACAAGCAGCAGCCGCCGACCGATTTCCGTCTGCGCCGCATTCGCATCTGTAGGATCAGAGCGCTATAGCACTTGTAGCGCATCGACGCGACTCGTCGCCAAGTCTGAATGTAGCCTTACCCATTTTGGAGCTTCTTCCCCAGGCATCTGCGAAAATCTTTACCACCTTGACTCACAACCGTTTTTTTCAGCACGGAAAAACCCGTTCGATTTGGGCAACTCGGAGAATGAGGGTAACACCATTGTTTCGAATCCGTAGGAGTTTACAGATAGTCACAGGTGTACCCAGTATACTGACAGGAAATTGCACAATGCCCCCGCCCAACCTACTCATACTCGTGTGGGTTACTCTTGTGACAACTTCTATCTTCTTTCTCCGTCTTTCAACGGGTAACTACGTATTTTTTCAAGTCTTTCTATCAAAGAACTCACAGAATACACCGTTCTCATAAGCATCAATTTTGTTATGCAGATCAGTCATTTCGTTGAAAAGAGCATCGCTGAACCAGGGGTTTGCTGCTCTCAACGCCTCATTCTCATGGGTTTGCTAGGAAAAAGAATATAAATCTCCCTTCAGCTCATCTTTAATCTTCCCCAAGTTCTTAGCAATGATATTCGCCTAACATATCTTTCCACTTCTAGCTTCTAAAGCAAAAAACCAATAAGTTTTGCATCTCATCTTGATGTTCTAAATCTCCCGGGTTTGCTTTTTATTCCCGAGGATGGTGAGCAATGGCCATTGTCAAGAAGTGACCTAATCTCAACTCAGTAGTCCAGCCGCCTCTTAAGAGTTAACGCACGGGAACGATTAACTATTGCATTGACATTGTCGAGGTTTCCCAATCAGGTGCTAGCATTAGAACGTCTTCGTAGTTCCGTATAGGGAATGGTATAGGGACGGATGCTTTAAGAGTCTGAAATGGTTGACCCGGACCATCCACAGGGGGGGGGGGCAAAAAAAGTCACTTCGACCGAGTCACATATCAGCAAAGTTTTCGCAGCCCAGAGAGAAGACGTGGAAGATACCCAAGATGTTCCTCGATAAGCAGGAGCTGGCTCTCGCCCATCACCTTCATGTACACCAAAATATGAAGTCATCTCCAGTCGCAGCCTGACTGGAGAAGACCTTTGGAATTCATGTCACCTCCAAACAGCTGCGAAACTTCTAGTATGGAGTCACCCATGGATAGCTACCTGGAGACCAGTACTCGATCTGGATGACCTCCAACATCGAGCAGCTCCGACAACGTCGCCACGGTCTAGGACATCATCTTCACCGCAGTCGCCAAGGCGCGGGTTGATGGTATGGACCGGACGTACCTGGAACCTGGAATGGAAAGACCAACATTCTTCGTATTCACGCTATAACGTCGTTGTTCGTGGACCCCGGGCTGAAGCTGAGCGCTGGCGGTTACATCGACCAACCAGAAGAATATCTTCCCCACATGTCGTCGCCCGTACCTTCTTGGAAACTTTGTACTGCTACAGCATTGGGTGCCACCACGTGGAATCGAAGGGCGTTGGAGAAACTCTCGCCTACCTGGAATGGAAGGGGGCTGAGTACCTAAAGAAGAATATCCAAGTAGGTCACCTGACCTGAATCCCCTCAATTACCCGGTTCGGGCGGAGTTCAATAGGGTGGTCTACGGTGGCGGAGAAATCGACTATCTCGCTGATCTCAGGCACCACATCGCGTTGCGTGCCAGAATCTCTCGATGGCGCTCCTCCAGAAGGCTGTGGCGGAGTGTCATAATAGTATTTAATATGCTCTTTAATATGGTGGTAGAAATGTCCGATCAGAATTTATAAAGTGTAACTTATAGCGCCTCGAAAGTCAATGAAGCAAAGTGACTTTTTTTGCCCCCCCCCCCTGTAGATCTTCACCTTTGAGATTTACTGTGGTTGCAGGACATACAGGGGGCCAATAAAGAAAAAAAAACCCAATTTTCTTCCTTGACTTTCGAGGCGCTATAAGTTACACTTTATCAAATTCTGATCGGACATTTCCACACCATATTGAAGAGCATATTAAATACTATCATGACACTCCGCCACAGCCTTCTGGACGAGCGCCATCGAGAGATTCTGGCACGCGACCGCGATGTGGTGCCTGAGATCAGCGAGATAGTCGATTTCTCCGCCACCGTAGACCACCCTATTGAACTCCGCCCGAACCGGGTAATTGAGGATTCAGGTCAGGTGACCTACTTGGATTCCATCTTCTTTAGGTACTCAGCCCCCTTCCATTCCAAGTAGGCGAGAGTTTTTCCAACGCCCTTCCGATTCCATGTGGTGGCACCCAATGCTGTAGCAGTACAAAGTTTCCAAGAAGGTACGGGCGACGACATGTGGGGAGGATTCTTCTCGAGTTGCTCGATGTAACCGCCAGCGCTCACCTTCAGTCCGGGGTCCACGAAGAAAATATGGTCTTTCCATTCCAGGTACGTCCGGTCCATACCATCAACCCGCCTTGGCGACTGTGGTGAAGATGATGTCCTAGACCGTAGCGACGTTGTCGGAGCTGCTCGATGTTGGAGGTCTTCCAGATCGAGAGTACTGGTCTCCAGGTAGCTATCCGGGTGACTCCATACCAGAAGTTTCGCAGCTGTTTGGAGGTGACGTGAATTTCAAAGGTCTTCTCCAGTCAGGCTGCGACTGGAGATGACTTCATATTTTGGTGTACATGAAGGTGATGGGCAAGAGCCAGCTCCTGCTTATAGAGGAACATCTTGGGTATCTTCCGCCCTGGTACTCGTATCCACGTCCTCTGTCTGGGCTGCGAAACTTTGCTGATATGTGACTCGATCAAGGCGACTTTTTTTACTGTCCCCCCTATAGCTTAGTTAAGTCATCACAAAATGCATCTCCCTTGATTAAGCATTCAGTGGATCTCTTGCAATCTCGATTTTCCAACAACATGAAAAGCATGGGTGAAAGCATTACAAAAGCAATTTCACGAATTTTTCCTGTTCGCCAATTTCATTGGAAAGACGCTTACTTCAATCATCAGGCGTCCCTTACTATCCAGAGATTGTCTATGTTGATAGTTTCACCGCACCATTTGGTCAAATTTGCAAGAAGAGTAGCAATCTGAAAACAGGTTTTCAGGTCATGCTGCACAATCTTTTACCGTTCACCTAGGAATGACTTCAGATTCCCGTATAACTTTGGATGGTGGCCTAGGTACATCGATAGAAGTTGGAATGCTCACAATAATATAGGAACCACCCCATCATTGCTATGCGATCTGTCACAATAGTGAGTAGAAGAGAGCGGCTAAATAGAATGAAAACCTACGCCAGTTTGCGCGCCGCGTGCATGCTGAGCCTTTCGGAACGACTGCGATATTCGTGTTCAGCTTATTGCGAGCTGCCTTAGAATTATAAACGGACCCTATGCACAAACAATTTGTTGTCATCCTTCCTTGTGCAAGGTAGACCGCAAGAAGTCCAGCCAAAGACATAAAGATTGTTCCACTTTCGCGACTCCACAATGGGTGAGGACGGTGCTACAGTCGTCGAAATCTCCAGTTCTGACCCCGCTCAGTTGGACCGCCTACCTACAAACGTCCCCTTTTCAATTGAAGTTCAGTTGTTGTTTGGTGGAGCGGCGGGCATAAGTCCCTCTTGCGTGTTCGTTTTTGCTGACTGTGATCGTGCTTATGAGTAGCTTTACTTTCCTTTTCGTTCTTTTTTTCCTTGGGGGCGCATGCAATCAAAAACAATTTATCTTCAAAGGTAAGACGAGTTGGATTTACTAATAATGTGGTTTCTTTGGTGCAATAGTTCGTCGGACAGTGTCTTCCAAATTCCAGTTTTGCACGAGACACATTGAAGACTATTTTCTGCTACGAATTCGTTTTTAAATCGTGTTTTTCGTTGTTTTTTCACTTTTAAAGAGCATTTAGCACGTAGGTGATGCGGCCAAACGATAAGTGATCCTTAGGCGGTGGCATGTCCCTTCGTTGTCATGAAACGAGCAGGCCCAGAGAGCTCGTACAGTGAGACTCTGATCCTTATCGAGGTTTGCTCTCAATTTTTTTCTACTTTTTTTGTTTATTGAAGGATGACTTGGTTACTATAGGTTCGCTGTTGGACGCAACTATACCACAACCACAGTATGTGATCTCAGGGTTTGTCTTCAACTGCTCCTAAAAGCAAATTACCAGCCAAATCAATGCGGTCGAATTTCCTTCTAGCCACTATTGCACTGACTGGTGGGAATTTTTGAAGCCCATAACTTGCTTACAAGATGAAGGTAGTACTTTTGGTTCGGTTCATCAAGCGGCTCTTCATACTTCATCAACATACCTGAGTCTCCATCCAAAGCTTCGTCGGGATAGAAAGTTTTTCTCTGATAAGCAAATCCACCAACATTGGAAATAAAACTAAGCTCACGTCCGGCCTCCTTTGGAATGCTTGCAACTTCTTTGAACTTTTCGCCATGCTCCATAAGATTTCTCGTCGTTCACAAATAGCCTCAGTATTTACAACCTGAGAGACCGTATGTCTAGCCACCCGAATCTAAAGTACTGCTCACTCTTTAACTCTATCAGCAAGTATCTATCTATCTAGTGTAGCCTGGATAAGTAGATACTTGCTGATAGAATTCACGAGTAGTAGTACTTTGGATTTATAGTCTATCTAGTACTCTGTCATCAGTCAGAAAAAATTGCAAAAGGAAAAAGCACTTCGCTAAACAGCTCAACTCACATAATCAGTGTCGTCATCCACTGTGTGAATGGCTATTGGAATGTACCCTTGCGGCCATCCCTTCATCGTCTGGGTAGTCAAGGCCGACGACCGCATTGTTGCCTTTCTGTCCATACATGCCAACAAGGTTCGACAAGGCTGACGCTATTGTCCGATTTACGTCTGTGGAACGAATATAGATCTGCAAGATGCGCATAAGATGAGGAAATTTTCTACAGCAGGTAAACCGAGAAAGGTGCAGGTTCCTTTAGAACAGGATCAAGTTCACATATGCACCTTGCGAATGCTGTGAATAGACCACACTACCCTGTGGGTCTTCTTCCAATACTCAAATTAGCAATACTTCGGCTATCTGTTTTAATTGGTTCCAGTTTTAGCGGGAACACCCGGAGCATGAAAGAAATGAAGCAATTTATACCCAGCCAAACGTTTCTGTTACCCTATTAAAGTTCGGGACCGATGCAGATCACCACCTATTCGTAAGTTGGACCATTACCGCAACACACAGATCTTTGAGACTACCAAGCCGACAGCAGGAACGTTTCGGGCTATCCCTCATTCAGGGACACTACGGTAGGCCTCCCTTGTACATGGTTTTAGCTCCCGCCTATTGTGGCGCAGTCTTTCCTCCCACTCGTTTTGGATTTCCTAGCTAAACTCAGGATGCCTCGAAAAATTTCCGTGCTGTTGTTTGCGATTCTCGCGCGAAGACCCTAGTCTCGATTCCACAATTGCTCCTGAATTCAAAGCCTGTGGGTCCTTGAGATAGTAAAAAGTGACCTTCTGTCGCCTTTCAGGTGCACCTTCACCCTCACGGAGTCATAACTACAATAGGTGATCTTGTAGACCATCCTGAGATGGTGCAGGAGAGACAGAACTTTCCCTCGGAGAGACGACGACGACGCAGTTCAATGTCATATATACAAGGTCGGTCATACAGCCAGTTTTGTAACAGGTGGTGCAATGAATTAATGAGTGGCCCATTTACAATGATAGCTGCGTTTTGTAAGCCAGAACTTCTTAGACACCTATTGATGGGAATGGAAGCGCTAACTTCTTAAGAGACGCAGGGTAAAAAGAAGGGACTATACTGTCTACCGAATCAACGCCACGTCTGCTGTTCGCGCTATTTCTCTGGTCTAGGGGAGAAGGCAGGTGCATGCTAGCCATACGCCATAGTGCTGTGCACTCTTCGAAAATTTTTTTGCTCAAACTCGCGAACAAATATTCGCTGCTGTTCGGTACATCTTTCTCACGACAGCTCGCTTCGACGGAGAGGCTGGGCGTAATGGCAGTGGGCGCCAATGCAGACTTTCTGTACCATTTCGCAGAAAGTCTGCTGTCCCAGACCCTCACTCGGATATTGAGAAAAGTGAGCCAGTTCATGGTTTGTCCAGCTGTCAGCTCGGTGTGCTGCAGTGCCGTTGGACACATTGCCCATATGGACAGGCCCGAGTGGCCTTTCGTCAACTTTAGCTTCATGGCGAAGCCGATTTTGGAGCTCACGCAAAATGCACATGACTGCACAGTACTCCTGCAGAAATGGGCGAAATAGGCGACATTGTGCAAAACATGCGCCACCCAGTAATTTCGGGCGTCGACTGGTGCGAAATCAGCACTATGGTCGTGCATATTACTTATTCCGCTCAATCCATTTTCTACAACTTATTTCCATGTGCTGCTTTGTTTTATCATTTGTTCATTAATTGCATGCTGCCGCTTATCGGTCAATTTCAATAACTATGTTGTGTTTTGTTCTGCTTTACTAACCGATAATAAATCATAATCATATATAGCACCACACTGTGTTGGTCCGAGGAAGTGCGACTACACCATCTGAGGGGTGATCTACATGATCACCTGCTGTAGTTGTGGAGATGAGTATATCTGTGAAACATCGCGGCTGAACTGCGTGAGGGAGACGGAGAACTCGGAAGGCAGGAGTAGGTCACGCTTGTCTACTACTCTGGGGCGCGGGCGACTTTGGAGTCGACGCCAAGGTCTTGCTGCGAGAATCACAAACCCGCACGGGTGACTCTCGAGGCATTTCAGATTCAAACCAGCAATCCAAAAATTCAACAGCTGGAGCACAATAACAAGAGAGCTAAAACTTTAATATGGGAAGTCTTCCAATAGTGACCCTGAACCAGGAACAGTCCTAAGCGTTTCTACTGGCGGATTGGTAGTCTCGAGGACAGAACTGTGTTGCGATGAGTGGCCCTCCTTACGAGCAGATTGTGATCTGCATTGATCCCCAACTTCAGTAGGGTAGTCAAGACGTCTGGTCGTGTAGTCATAAATTGCTTCGCCTTGAGGAAGCCATCTCGCCAGAATGCAAGCCTATAAGACTGGCTTATCAATCCTGTCTGAAGTTGAAGCAGTGAACCTTCAATTAACTATAATGGTTACTAATACAGAGAGAGAAAACGCAAACGAAAGAAAAAGCTTAGAATTTTAGAGATTTTTCACTACATTTTGTTTCTGGAGTTAAAATGCTATTCTTCTTCTTGTGGCACAAAATGCTTCTGTCTACTATTTAGTAAATCACTTGTGAAAAATATATTTACTAACCTCTTTTGAAGAATATCTTTTGCTGATAAATTTCATTTCGTCAATGTATGTCTTCCGTATTAATCTTCCAAGATCCAGATGTTGCTTCATTCCGCGCTGAAATATTTTGAAGTGGAGGTTGCACTCGATTTTGGTTAGATGTGATCTTAAGAAAGTCCTCTGCGCTGCGCATGCAACCTTCTCACAGTTCGTTCACAGGCTCCCTTCCTGTTCTCAGTTTGAAATTACACTTCATGTATGGATCTGGAGTGGGCTTAGCTGCCTACTCCACTGAAAGTTTGAGCTTCAGGTGGACCTTGTCATCTTTGAGCAAATTTAGTCACGTATTCGCCCAGTACAATGCAAATGATTGCTGACTCAAATAGAAGTATTCCAACAAACAAAAGTGCGTTCTATGAAATGTACAAAAGATGCAGTTCAAATGATGCACGGAACTGTCCTCTCCTTTCGGTGTATTGGCATAGTCACTATGAACAGTGGTATTCAGGACGTTACGCCCTGCTATGGAGAGTGGCCCTGAGATTCGAATGTGTTCTCAAAGTTATGCCTGAGATGGAAGAAAATGACAGTGATACCGGTGAGAGTTGTCCGAAACCTCCTCCACCAAACGTCCAATTTGCTTCTTGAAAGGGATCGGTCTTGAAAGTTTTTGTTGGCGAACGATCTCCGTGGCGCCACATCTGAATCAATGATATTGTACTAGTTTTTGCATGATACGTGTGGATAAGACTGAGTGTAGGTCAACCTTTAGTCATAATCATGCTTTAGAATGCACACTCTTTTCTAGGATTCGGAGCATAAAGATGTGGTTTCTTTCGTTTGTTTTTCAGCTAATAGTCATGGGTATGGCTGATGGACTGGACATCTTCCGCCCATTTTCCGTTAATGAGCAGGTCGCGGACCTCTTTTTTTTGAAAGCAAGCCTCCTCTCGACAAGTGATGCAGCGAAGCAGTCTCTCCCTTTCCCCCACCCAGTAGCGGCTGATCACAGTTCAGCCCACAATGTAATTGTGAGTGCAGAAGACGAGAAAATTCCTTTCCAGTTCTAAGCATCAGCACCTACGAAACTAGTTCAGAAAGGACACACAAGGAGCGATTATGAAACTGTGAATCCAGCCTTTTGTTGAGACTGTTATCGCCCATCGGGAAGAAGTGGAACCTTTTGTGTCACCTTGCCTTGCTAGAATAAGTTATCTCCTCCGGATAAACAGGGGTAGACAAGCGGCTGTTGGCAAACGCTCCCTATTATAGGTCTAAAACCGTCTCCATTAGTCGAACGGCGGGTCTTGCGGTAATCCCACCACACCACTGCCTCTACGAAACTTAAGCCTTTTTTGAGTCAGCCATTAGAACTTGAATTAGATGTCTCGATTTGACTCTGAAGAAGCGTTCCCTTACCAAATGCTGCGACCTAACCATTCACGAACACTAATCTAGAAGGATAGCCGTCCACATCTCTCTACCAAATTTAGTGGAGAACTGTCCGCTCTCTAACAATACACATCATCATCATCAAACTCATGAACACCTACCACCTTTCTTCCAAGAACTGACCGATAACTTCTTATGATTCTGTAGCAAGTGCACACCATTGCCTTTCGTATATCGCATCGGCACTCAGCCTAGGCATTAGCTCCTCCTCCTAAGCTCAGTGTCCTAGGCTACAGGAAATGCCTGGACACTCAGTAGTCGGTGTTCTTAAAAGACACCTGTTTCAAGTAGCAATGATCTTGGGGTGTGGCATCGCGTCGTGTCTGTACCGGTCACCACCCTGGTAAACGCCTTGATCGTACTGCTGCTTATTTTCAGTGCACGCTGCACAGCTGAAGTCACTGTCACCTCTACACCCGCCCCATTTTCAGCTTTGCATACCATCAAAACTTATTTACCCGGAAGTTTATAGCTTATTCGAGAGGTTATTGTACCACACTGAGACTCGCTACCGCCTTGCTGCCCAATGACGTAAATAGCCGTTGTTGGGTGAGGTGGTTATACGAAAAACTGAGATTGTGAATACTTACTGCCTGAACGAGAAGCAGTTCCATCTCGCCATCTGTAACTGCTTCTGTAGTTGTCCACACACATAAGAGCGCGAGCGGAGCCAATAATTTGTTCATGTTTCAATAGATACTATGATTTTGTCCTGAAAATCGTTATAGTGTCAAGAGCAATGCTGTGAAAGTTGCTGTCTGTGAGAAACATGCAGAGAAAAAATATCGAAATCATAAGTGAGCTTGTATACGCACTACGCGCCTTCTTTCAAGTGCAGAAGCTCTTCAGTGCATAGGATGTCCAAGTTCGCAGCCAAATAAGTGTTCCACTTTGACCGCTCAAAAATGCGCGGTGAAAACACTACCGGTTTTCCAAAGCCTCGTGTCTCTGCAGATACCATGTACAAAACGCTATGAGCGCACGATAAGGGGCAATGCGATCGACCTTATTAGAGCATTTATGTGCGTACAGTTACCTGGTCTCTCTTCGCTCAGGGTATCGCTATCTACTGATTCTTCATGTGGTCCAACGTTCGAAGCGAAATTCGGAAAGGGGTTCTCGCCGCTCTGAGGGATTCTCTCATTTCATTTCTTTATGGTATCCATTTCAAAATTACTATTCTACAACCACATCGTCCATTTCCTTAGTCCCCCTTTCCAGGGAAATCTGCTTCAAAATAGCACCAACCGTTCAGTTCTAACTGAGAAACAATCATTCTTCACAAACATACGATGAGGACGCTTCAGTCCGTTCCGTCACACTATGTAGCATTCACACAGTTGCGGTCACTGTAGTATTAAGAGATATAAAGAATAAGTTATCACAAAAATTCTGGGTTACGGGCAAAAGTCTGACCCCAGGAGAGACGGTCGAGCCCGAGCCTCAGGCTTTCCGAGCGGGTGCGCTAACCTTCGCTTCGCCAGGGCTGCTCTTACTCTCTCTGCTTAAGGCTTTGATGCCGTAGCCTTACAGCACGCACAGATTTAACATGGTGAATCGTACTCGTCGATATCGGCAATATGCCGCGAGAAAGGAGGCTTTACAAGTTCTTAGAGTGTTTTATCTAATAAGTGCACTTTGAAGCTACAGTTCACGCTCTGAGAGTCGTCACAAAAATATTGAGGCATGGGCATAAGTCTGCCCCCGGCTGAACTCGAACCCACACCGCACGCTTTCCCGGCGAGTACGTTATAAGTTACGCCTCCACGGCTGCTATTACCGTATCAGCTTGACAGAATTTATGCCGTAGCCTTGCAACGCTCACACGTGTAACATGGTGATATCACTGCAAAACAGGAACTGATAAAAATAATCTCAATAATCTAAATCTCGCAACGCTTGTGAGAGCCTAAGTAATGCAATCGCAATAGCTCGGCTTGGGTTGAACACTTACCTCCTCTCAATATCACATTTAATGCACGGCTTTAACCTGATTAGCGACGGGTTACAATGTGGTAAGCAGTTCCTCGTAGCCGTCCATCAAACAATAACTAACTGTTTTATCTCAAATATCCCCATATAGTTCGTCTCTAATGGGCACTTATTCCGAACCATAAACATAAAGTGACAATGCTATGAAAAAACTCTAAGCACTCGCTCCAGCGCTGCTTAATTTCAACGAAAACTATTTTCCATCACTTACATATTAATAAGTAAGTGCAAAAAGACGAAGATGGAATGTTGATGTGATAATTAGCAGCTGAAGCAATATTATGCTTGGGAAAGGGTTGTGGTACATCGTGACTCATGAAACTGCATTGGAAACTAACCACTCTCACGAAGTTCCATGTTTATCTCATCTGTTGCCAAAAATTTGTAACTGATATGGTTGGAACTTATGATTCAGAAGAATTCAAATCTTGTGTTCCTCATGTGACCCTCCATTTGACTCTTTGGCTTACTCCGCAGAACAATCCGGTGCACAAGATCTGAAGTTTGACTCTTTTTTTTGTTGAAGATTGTGGACGGTACATCGTGTTTCTAAGCTTTTCACAGGATGCACGTGCAATGCTACCGGAACCGCTCAAACGTGCGAGCAAGTCATACAGCGCGACAGACGGTAAACATCGATGTCCCTACTTAGGATAAGGACGCCCTACGGTGGTAAGATGCACAGTCGTAAACTCAAACATGTGATAGTGATTACAATATCTAAGTAGGAAATCGGCATCACTTCACAAAAAGAAATGCATCTAATCGGATTAACAATGGTTATCTAAGAATAAGTGGTAATAAACGGAAAAAAGCACAACGGTTTTAATGAATGTTTACAAAGTGTTAACGGCTCTCTTATCTGGAAGGTTTGAGAGCGTCTTCACTGGAATTCCTCACTCGTAAAAAATACAACACGACGTCCTCAGCTTTCAGAGGGAATGTCACTCTGATTTCCTTCGTTAATGTTATCTCATCACGGCAGATTATTGGAGCTCCAAACCACGTCGCGACTGATGACGCTAAAGATATGCGATTTTTCTCCAATTTTCGCTGACACTTGATGACACCCGTTCGAAGCACCCTGTATGAGTACGAAGTTGTTCTCTTGACTGGTTCTCGAATTTTCCTCGCTTCTGGGTTAAATATCGCATTAGAGTTTCAGTAAGGACCGGATTCTCCCATTTTCGACTTTCGTTATATTCAATTATTGTTCGAAAGTAGAGTAATAAGTCATTAGGCTAAGAAAATATCAATGCGAGTCTGACCACATTACAGAACTGGACATAACAACAACCGAGGATTCAGTCCAATAAATTGTTACCGAATTTGTTCTTTTTTGTGCTAAAAAAATAGCGCCATTATATTATTTGTATAATGTTTGTGAAACCAGTGGACCAGCTCGGACCACGTTTTCACACCTCTAGCTCTCACTCCTCGGTTACATTCGCATACTTGCGTTCATAATCCCCTCCAAACCGAAGTACTGGGATCCTATTTTTAGGTTTCATTGCAAACAGCATTGAGGTGTTGAGTTGCAACTCCCGTGACTATAACATCTCTTTGAATTACTTGTATGGCCACTATTACACTGCTTTTCAATCTTGAATCTGTAGAGGTATCTATTCAATAATATCTGGAAGGTCCTGTAACAATTGAAGAAGGAACATCTATTGTTATGGGCCGAGATTTTGCCATTTGAGCTAAGTCTATGTCTTTTTTTTTTTTTACTACTGCGCGCTTCCTTATATTAATGTGACTAACTATCTTGAACCAAACTTATTATTGTCATTATTCGTTGAAACCACTTTAACTGACGAACCTAAACCAACGCTGGAGTAAAACAAAAGTACACCATAACTGAGATGTCATCACATTTGCACACAGTGGCAAAAGTGAAGTCGCGTGACCATATTAAGAAATACCACATAAAGTGAAAGACTCTGTAAGAAAGAAAGAAGAAAAGTGCCTTCCAATGGAGGCTAATGAACGGTTGTCCAATTCAAGTCACTGAAAGCTTCGAAAGCTACATGAGAAAAATCGCTTTTCTCGCATTGCACGAATGGGCTAACAAAATAGTAGTTCGTTGGACGCAGTCTCCAAGGAACAGACAGACCTTGTAGAGACTATTAGTACCAGCATGTCAGGTCAGAAGAGTACGGTTAATTAGCGGCATTTGAAATTAGTATTTTCTTTTATTTTTAAAATTAGAAATTCTATGACTGGGTTAGTAGCAAAATGTTAGTGCATTCTCGCCAAGATTTCAGAAAGGAGAACGTACATAGGAGTAGAAAAGAGTGGCGGAGTCGATCAAACGCGAAGGGCCCCATCCCGACGAGGAGGGAGCGAAAGAGCAGTCTGACGCTCCCCCTACCCGTACCTGAATACATAGGTTAGAGAAATTTCTTCTTTCGGATATGGTGAAGGTGATGGGCTGCAAGAAAGAACGATTGGAAAACAAACTTGAGCAGCAGTTCTTGCAAGACCAACAATATACACTTATTGCAGAAACTATCAGTATGATCCTAATTTCATAAAATAGTGGTGCTAATGCGTTAGGGAACCATGCCAGGCTGCTTTTCTGATCGCTCCTCGTCGAGAAAGTACCCCGTATGTTTGGTTGACTGCAGCGAAGGATCTTTCTAGATAATTTCGATAATTTCAGGGGTAGAACATAAACCAAACACCGTTATGGAATGGTAATCAAATAAGGCTGCAAAGGAGCAACAGCAAAGTGGTTAGGTTTTTATCTATGCGCAGGATGGAAGGAACTTTAGGGGTGGGGGGGAGGAGTAATTCCATTCCTTTGTGCAGAGCTTTCAAATGCCTTGGATACTCCGCAAAACCAAAAAGCCCCCCCGTTACTCTAACAGCGCCTTAACAGAACAAACGGCAGAAGATTTAAGGGAAAGACATGCTTCCCAGTAAATACATATGTAGTGATATACTTCACCTCTCTATTCGAGACTGTTCAAATTGCCGCTTGCCAAGCTGGAAATCATTTATGGGGTGTTCCAAACCCTATGTGTGCGGTGGGCGCAGGAGAGCAGCCTGTCTCGTGGTCCTCTCAAAAAGGTTGTTGTGCAAACGACTATTATTTATCGAGCATAAACAGGAACACCATGTCTATTGCCAGCAGTTTTAGGCAGCGTCCACACTTTATAGGACACAACAGCTCGCCGCGGGTTGTCGGGCAACCCGTTCCATTACAACTGATGTAATGTCTTGAATTACTTGTTGGGAAATCACTTTTCATGCAGGTTTTTTCTTCTTGGCTGCTACTTCTTTTGTTGAGTGGGATTCTGAGTCCTAGGAGCTCGTTGTGCTGTAACTATGTGTTAATGTCGAGATCTCAGCCGCTTTGGAATCTTGTATTCACTCCTCTTCCATCATTTTATCTTTTCCGCTCCAGGCAAGATGTCTCGCAACTCTTTTGTTCCAATCAACGCAAATGAAGTGCCAGCGTATTGGTCCTGCTCAGGATTTTTGTGTGAATTGAAACGTAGTTTTTAGATGGGTGCGCCATTGGTGAGACTTTTTCATTCTGAGACAGCTCTGACGATGTCATTGTGCAATATAAGACACGATTACACTTCTCTCGGATTGAAACGTCTCACGAACAACCATGGAACCATCTCAGCGTTGTGTGATGTGAGCTTCATTGACTACTGAGGTCATTTCACTGTTGTTTCTCATCTCAGTTATGCTTGCTCTGAATACCGTCTCTGACCTAGTGTCAGCTTTACTATACTATGTTCCCTTTAATTCTTTTATATGCCCGTTAAGGGGGCTATCTTATTACCTCTTTGTGACCACTGGTATTAGCTACTGAACACCTTACAAGTGAAAGTAACCAAAGAAATGAATAACAGGGATCTTGAGTGTAAGTGCTTTATATGTCCGTAAAGCTCAAGTGGATTTGTAAAAAGTAACACCTTGCTGGTAAAAGGCATGGTAATATAAGGGCACTGCTCTGTAAGCATATGATCGAAAGGCATAGCGGGGATGTGAAGTGTAGAATCGTGACACGCGAGGCTAAGATTCCCGCCATTAAATAGCCTGAGGAAATTGTTACGACGAACAAGGAAAGTGGGCCCATATCTTGACAAACGACCTTCTGCCGTTTGCACCGCATTATGAGCTAGTGATATAGATGGTGAAACAAGTCATTCATGACTGCAGCTACCACATCAGGACGGCACAGCAAGTCTTAGTTAAATCTCTGATATCTAACAGAGCAGCAGTTTTCCGCTGCCGCAATGGTATATTGAGTGCTTCCCTGTCATTCGAGATTTTCTGCTTTATTCCTGATATTCCGTCAAAAAGCGAGGGAAAAGAGGCATTTGGCGTTGTAGGGAGGCCAGTCCACAAAACGCGAGACACGTTAAGCCTTTGATGATGAGGAAGTAAGGAAGCGCTAGGCTGTAACAAAAATTCCACCTAATAACCGCTAGCACAGAGGAACTTCAAAACGTAACAACAATAATGCTTCGATCACTATACAATCTAATAGGAATTAAAGCAAATTCTTCAACATGGTAAGCCATTTTCACATCCTGGCAAATGCGCAGAGCAGCATTTGCTTCGAATAATTATTAGCACCAAGCGAAATCACTAGGAACTGTACAAATGATGCCCGTCCATAAGTGGAGCATTGTGGTCAGCGCTGAAAACAATTAATTAAATTGGGTAAATGTATAGATTAAAATTAATTAACCCACTGCGTACCGCGGCATTTTCTCGCTAACCGGCGCCTGTGGCCGACGCCATATGACTTGTGACGCGCTGAGTATAAACAAAAGCGATTCATATCATATAAGTATCACAGAAAGATATTGTATATACTCGCACGATATATTACTTTTAATAAGTATCACAGAAATATTATTTTTATATGCGGACATATGATAAATGGAATTTAATATTATTATGTGATGAAGTGTGAGCCGAAAAAAGGTGACAGTTGCAAGAAAAGGTTGATAATTCCACGAAGAATTGAAAACGGACTTAATGTGATCAGGAACACTTCAGTTACACTGCTTTACGTGTCTTCAGTCAAGTCAAAACCAGGGTTCTGAATTCTTCGGTTACAAACAAAACAAACAAACAAAGCTTATGTGTTCCTCGAAAATCGCCAATATTCGAGCTTTAGTTTGATCCCACAAGTTCCCCACATATATACTTATTTCACGAGACTTCAGGAATTTTCCGACAATTTCGAGTTATCAAACAGTGCTAATTAGGTGTTATCAAGCGTACTGCACCATGTATAGCACGCTGCCGTACCGAGACAAACTAGCGGCATGCACATGGTGCAGCACGCGATACGCAATCGGTTGAAACATCCTACTATATATAATCGGCTATGTCCGTGTGTGTGTGTCTGTGTGTGCGTCTGTCTGTCTGTCACGAAATTCATAGCACCTGAAGAAGAACTTGGAGGGGTCGGGTCATGGTGGGGATGGGTAGGGCATGGGACAAAATGTAAATAGCACCCGTGAAACATGGCAAGCCCCGCCAGGAGACACACCTGAAATGGGCGGCGCTTTCCATGTCGCTCAAAAAGCCATAATTTGGCTACAAAGCAGCTCGGAGACGGGAAAAAGTGGAATAAGGTTAGCATTGGGTTGGCAGAGCAAATGGAGGAGACACACCCGAAATGGGCGGGGTGTACTTGAGATGGGCGGTGCTTCCCACAAAGGTCGGTAACTCGGTTCCCAAAAAATTCAGAGATCGCAGAAAAGTCCATGACGAAGATGAACATCTGGCAAGAGTCCACCATGTTTGCGGCGTGCTGAGGCCCGCCCACAGTGGGTGGGGCGTGCATTTGAACACGAGGTACCAGTATAAAAAGTCGTAGTTTGGTCCTAAAGCACTACAGATGGCGCAAGAAAGTGGATTATGGTCCCCAAGTGATGACATGTCGGAATGTGTCCCGTTGTGGGCGGGACGTGCGCCGAGGTGGGCGGAGCAACTTAGAAAAGTCGTAAACTGGTTCAGAACAGTCCAGACACCGGGAAAAAGTAGTTTAAAATCAGCGAGCGGTCACCGGTTTACATGTGTGAGATACATGAGATGCAGGCGGAGCGTGCCCCGAAGTGAGCGGGGCCAGCCTTAAAAATTCCTCAAGCGGTTCCAGAGCACTCCAGGCACTCCAGACCTCTATGTGATACGGCCCGGCTTTGCGGGGCGTGGCTCCATCGCGCCTACCTGCATTCGTATGATCAAATGCTCGACTAATACCCGGCTTTTCTCTCATCTGTCCACTTGATCAACGCTCCTTACCACCATTCCATACACCGTAATAGTGTTGAAAATAGCAGGTATGATGCTATTGGTCAAAGAATGTTGATCATCTGTTCAGATAAAAGAAAAGCCGTATGTTAGGCGGGTACTGAAATAAGTGAAAGACAGCGAGGGCGATCTCAGAGTGAGCCGGCAGAGCCAGCTGGTACCTTAATATTCCGTATTTCCTTTTATCACTTTGCATCACTATTATGCCCTTTCGCATTTGACTTTTTCCGTGAAAATGAGAACCTGTGATGTTCAGGCAGGATGCACGAGATTATCTCATTCAAAAACGTGCGCAGTTTTATTGGCATAAAAGGGAGAAGAAAACAGATAGGAACATGGTACTTTGGTCCTGGGTTAAGTGCCCTCTTCTGTCGTCAATGACCCGCTCCAGCGTCCATGGAGCTTTTGCATCCCTACGATCACTTTCTTTTTTTAACAGGTGCGAATAACATGCTGTTCATGCCAGTCAACGTGATATTTGTGGCTTTACTTGTTTGAACTAACTTCTGTCGATTTCTTTCATCAATCTTCAGACATTTTCTGTTCCCATTTACCCATCTCACAAGAACCCAAGCGGAGGCAAGGCTCTATGCCGGGAAGTACCAATCTTTTCCGTCTTTTCAACAGCGGGATTCAAAATCACCAAGGAAAGGCTATTTATCTCGCGGGTGCGGCGTTGCCGCTCCCTGCACTGCGGTATAATACGATAATCTTGACACAACCCTTATTTCTTGGCACAGTTGGCTTCCGAAAGACATTTTGCTTCTTCTCGCCATTGACGTCGGGACTACTAACCTTTGTGAAGCTGCGAAACGAAAATGGTACTCATTAAAGCTTGCTTAGGCCATTTGGTGAACTCTTCTGAACCTTTGCAAAGCTGCTACAGCCATAAAGCGGTACCATTTAGCTTGTTTAGAAGACCAGCTCCTCAAGAACTCACTGGTCCCACCGTTGTAAGGAGACTGGAGAAGCCAGCCGAATACCATCCATACCCTGCTGAGTCGCATAGCACCCATCTCTGATCATCTAGCAAGTTCAGTGTTGTCTCTTTCTGCTGCTGTTTGCGCTCTCCATTATCTTTGTTCTGATCATTCCCCTCAGAGCCTCTGCTTGCGTTTTTTGCTTAACTCTAACTGCGATGACTACCGATGAATTTCCAGAAATGCAGATCTGTGCTGTACAGTTATAAGGCACATAAAGCAACCGTAGAAGAGAGCCATCTGACGAATAGGAAGGATGAATTAAATACCTATACTTAGGAGCGTCCACTTTGAACTGCATGAGACTTGGAGTAGTGGATCGACGTTGCACCACTGAAATACATACTAGACTTAGTTTGTGAGATGCAGCAATGGCGTTTGAGAGTTTCTGGTTCTGCTAAGTTCCAAGTAACTTGTGAAGTGATGAGTTTACAAAACTGAGGTTTTCGACAGCCTTAAGTCCCTCCCTTAAAATATCCATCAATCCGTGGGAAAGGCATAGAAATTTGTTGAGTGTTAGCTCATTTCAAGTGCGAAAGTATCATGAGGACAAACTGCGCCAGCAAATTTTAATCACCTCAACCATCGGCTGTTCAGGTTTTGTTCTATTTGCGAATGTTCCGAAGATATCCAGTTCACAGAACAGCTGTCCTTCGCAAGGGCCAATAAAATGTGTGATCGGATAAAGGGTGGCATTTTCCTCATTTTGGTGATATTTCATCTGAAATCGTACTATTCAGCCCTTCGCAAGCGCTAAAGGATTGAATGTTGCAATCGCACTGGGAACTGTCAAAAAACTATGTCAATAATCATAAAATGATAGAATTTTTCTGACAGCGAACCCCAAACAGTGTCGACCCGGCCGTTTGCAATGAGATGTACACAGGTGGACGTGTCTTGAGCCGCTGAATCCAAATCTACCCTCCGTTTTTGCGGAACGATTCTCTGAACGGAGTATATGCCGCTTGGTTCCACCGCATTTTACCCACGCAAGAGGTCGTGATCGAATCCCTGCCGGCTTCCCACTTTTTTGCTTCCCTGCGCAAACGTGGCAAAATGTGGTTTTGCTTTCACTACTACTTCAGTGCTCACCTAATCTTGCCTGAAGAAAACTTTGCGTCCATTTATGAATGCGCCTAGGCACCTTGTAGAAGCCTTGTAGTGCAGGAAAATATTGGGGTGTACAGGTGCCCGTCGTGCGCGATACAGGCGTTTTCACGCTCAGCGAGTGCCATATTCGTGTTCAGCGGGTCAAAATACCTTTATACACAAGTTGCTAGCCAAATCTGGCATTTTGACCTGATTTCCATAATTGAACCATCCATGGGTTAGTTCAGCTGATGTTCACACCTATTCAGCTGCAGATACATTTGCCTGCACAACGCCTTGTCTTGCACCTTCTTACGCATTCATTTGTTACTGCTCCAGTTTTCCTGGTATATAGAAGAAAATTCCGGCCAAAGACAGGCAATCGACAAGAGACTGGCCCTGGAACTAGTGGTGACCACCATCGGATCAACTGCTACCGGACTTTTGAAGATAGGTCAAGACCTCATATCTGGCTAGAAACCTGTCCCCAAGGGTAATTTTGCTCCCTGAACACGAATATGGCACCCATTTGACGTTGATGATGTGAATGCATTCTAGACTTAAAAGAGACATTCCCCGCAGAATTTAAATGCAACCCCGTTCAGAGAATCGTTCTGCAAATTTCGAAGGCAGATTCGAGATCAGCGTCCAAAACCACGTCTAGTGAACTATATTTCATTACGAATGGCCACTAGACCCTGACCACTTCCCAGTAGTAGTGGCGACCTTTCTTCCTCGAATGCGAGCTCTTAGAAACGTCATTCTCATTGGAGTTCTCGATTTCAAGTTCAGAAGATGTGTACACCCCCCCTCCCCCCCGATGGAGCAATGCATCGCTTCCATTGCTCAAATAATTATAAATTCAGTCGTCAGAACTGGACCAAACAGTATAGTAGTTCTGCTGTGGAATCATATGGAATGCTTCTGAACAAAAGCAGAAAAGTGTGTCGAGTGTTCAAGCGAATTCCAACATGCCGGCATCATTGTCGCTAGAATCAGGCACTATCCACTACCATCGGCGACCTGCCATGAGAACCATCCCTCTCAACTTATACAACGGAGCAAAGATTTGATGGTCCGTAACTCCGTTCAGAGAATCGTTCCGCAAAAACGGAGAGTAGATTTGGATTCAGCGGCTCGAGTAACCCCCACATATCTACTTCTCATTGAAATGTCGGGTCGGTACCTGTTGTGGTTCCCTTTGCAGGGTAATGAGCTCACGACCTCGGAAGTAAGCTTGATGATGCCTGCAATTAGCCCACAACGAACTCGAAACACCGCCGCTGGTTAATCTGGATATCCTGACGAGCTGATAACTTATCTTGGACTACCCATTCATGGGAAGTAACCGATAGCATTGTGGTTTCATTGCGAATGTCTCATAGTAAGTATCGTGTATCATGCCAATATTCATCTCGACTTAATGCATTCTTGGGGCTTCTACCGACGAGTTAGACATGGTTACTTCGACCACTTATCCATTTGAATTCTGCGTGCCAGATTTATTCAGACCCCCCACTGAAGTTTGTAAATTCATGTGATAATAATGTCGTTGAGATAGATCCCGTCCTCGTAGCTTCTGCCAGTTCATTTCAATGTCCACGGTATTGTTCATCACACAGAAGTCTCGTGCTAAATATAAAAACAAAATTTCTTTTCTGCTTCTCTACTAATGTTCTAGAAATTCGCTAAAATCAAGATGCACACCGAATCCAATTCTGAGGGAATTTTTGAGTATTGGCGCATCCTAACTATACCACATGCCATCATTGTGAGCAGTTCCAAACATTTTATGCCTCGTCTCGATGCTAGCTCCCAAATCTTATTTGTTACTTCAACAATCTAATTGTAATACTCTGTATGAACAGCTCTGCTGGACAATATTGAGAGGTAGAGCGTTAGTTAACATTGAGACTGTACTCACTGAAAAGGCCATTCTGATAGGCTTGCACTTGATCGTTAACAGCGGTCATCTGATTGAAAAGTTCATCGCTGAACCACTTGTTCACGGCTCTCAAGGTGTCGTTTGCATGTATTTGCTAAAAAAATGATGAAAAATGGAACAAAGTCTCTCCTGCTCAAAACGGACCACGCTTCTTACTGTAAGGTTTCTTATCCACGAGCTAGATGGGACAACGTACGGCTGCACAAGGGTACAATCTTTGCACTTGGTAGTGCATGGCAGTGAAGTTGGACGGTTGTTGTTAGCTTGCATTTCCAAGTGACAAGTGCCATGTACCCTACCTACTCATAAAGTCCCATCATTGGGAACGGTCGGAGTGGCGTGAGCAGCCATTCGAGTCGCATTCGGTTCCCTTATGCTACCATTGCCATCGTGCTAAATCGATTTCGGGAAAAGAAACATTACAACGATGAAACGCGTACGCACATTAACGAAGCCTAATTGCGAGCCGATTGCGCGTGACATAAGATACCTTGCAGACGTCATACCAACTTTGCTCGATGAATAATCAATACCTAATAGGGAATAGAATTGTCTTTCAGATGCACATTGCCCGATTATCCAATAATAGGAATGCCTCCTTTTAAAAGCTTTCGGTGAGCAATCTCACAGTATCTAACACCTCGACAGAATGACCAGGCTCATAAGTTGGAGGGAAGCCATCCGTAGAATTCGCCACACCCTTCTGTGGCCGGAATAAGCCAGCGGTCCTATATCTATAAACCCAGGACTGACGCTTTTCGTTCATACTGTGTAGAACGACATGTCTTCTCTTTCGGATTCTAGCTCATTGTCCTCTTTTCTCAACTTTGTCCTTGACCACTAGACCGCGCAGCAGTGATTTGCTTATTGAATGCTTTGATGCCGCAGCCTTATTCAGTATTCTTTTACAACACTTTCGTTCACTCGCATCTCTGTTGGTATACTGGAAATCCCTGAGATCGGGTAGGCGTGGTTGCATGCTTCAACTTAACCTGAAGGTGTCTATGCTTCTGGTGAGATATTTTCATCTTGACACAATTGTTGTCGTGTCTCTGTCCAACACAGAACAAGATGACAGTTGTCCCAGACTGGAATATTCCACGAGTAACCAGTTCCGTGCCATGTTCAAATGCCACGCCTACTCTGGCTCAGGGATAAGGAGTGTATGTCACCAATCATCTTCAAATTCACACTTGTGCTCTAGCCCACAAACTGTAATCGCGGAATGTGTCTTTGATCTTGATCATCTCACCTCTCCGGGCAAACTTACTTCAGTCAGTAGGGCGTCCCGTATTATCCACAAATTATCAACATCCACTGGCTCTCCGCAGTACTCAGTTAAGTTTGAGAGCAGCGAAGCAACCTAGAAAAGTTTAAAGAGTTGTCACGAGGAAAATTCGTAGACCTCCTTCACAGTTCCAAGAATGTGGAGCGCAGTCTCTAAACTAGCTAGAGTTGCCAGGAGTGCCTAGCTACTATTTATTGGCTCAACTCAGATCACGAAGATCGAAGGTAGAGCTGAAACTTTTACAGAATTATTAGATCAGTGCAGCAATCTTGTTTGAAGCTTTTCTGGGGACTTCTATAGGGACCTAAAGAATTTCGATCAACACATTCAAAAGAGATCCTAATGTGCGTTCAAAAGCAGTTTCACGTTTGAAGTTCTACACCGTTTTGAAGAAGATCATCAAGTCCGACCAAACGCAGGCCCGGACTCCATAGTTTTATAGTAGTCCGCTCAATACCAATGTAATCGGTGCAGTCTGGAAATATGAAGTTTTTCATCGTAGCTTGGTGCACCAGCGCTTTCCCCTGTTATAGCGCTATAGATTGCTTTCGGAATTCCAAAAATGATAGCATCTGATGAACATAGCCGTAATGAAGACCAGTAATTGACGATGAAGTCTATCTCAATCTCGTCGAAGGAAATTCCGGATCGATGTGTCTTATTGAGAGGAGTCTCCTGAACATCTTCAACAGCACCATCTCTTTCCACTTGAATCGCTCTAGGGAACTCCCAAAACTCTATGTGTCGTGCTTCTTACCGAAATGCCGTTCTGAACACTTTTGCTTTGCATCACACACTGACCAGAGCCAGCGCCTCTGCAGAAAGTGCACTGCTTTTTGTTAACATCAAGTGCTTGAGCTTCAAAGATAAGCAATGTTTTTATCGGCCACCGGGAAGAAAAGGCGATTTTTTTCTTGCCATTCTTTTCTTTTCAGAGAAAGCAGCCAAAAGCAAACTGAACCTTCTCGAAGTTTGGGATGACTTTAACTTCATAATATTATTAGTAACGAAGTGAACACGCTCTATCAGAGCTTGAAGATCAGCGTGTCAAAATACCGAATGAAATGATCATAAATGCGGCTCCCCGTCGTAATTTTTGGGACAGTGATTTACATTGCAGTGCATGTTCCAAAAAACCACTTGTTTCATAGTTAATAAAACCAATTGAAAGTGCTTACATCGGGTCGGTTAAGGAATGCTTGCAGTTCCGGAGAGCTTTTGGCCATGTTCCACAACTTGATCTGACGGTCACAATCAGCGTCAGGGTTGAGAACCTGAAAAAGTCTAAGTAGAAACGATAAAGGCTCCAGCAGTCTGGGCATTACATAGTCAGTATCATCATTGACAGTGTGAATAGCCACTGGAACGAATCCTGCTGGCCAACCGTCTTCGGCAGGATAGTCCACATCAGAGATAGCACACCCGCTTCTTTGACCATACATACCAAGAATGTTTGACATAGCTGATATTATTGTTCTATTCCTGTCTGTCGAGCGAACGTAGATCTGTAAACAGGTGGGCTCCATATGGGAACTGCAAAATACAAGCGTCTGAAAAATTTCGGCATGGTGCTTGCGGGAATGTCATGTGTTCTTCAATTGGGATCCTGTGAGCTGTTTACTTGACAATACGTTCGGTAGAAAGCGTCCACTGAAAGTTTCTGAGAATAGTTTTCTCACCTGTGTTGAAAGGCAGCCATGTACCACTTTGCTAAGCTAAAAATTCCACTTGACTCTCAAGGACATTCAGGTGCAAAGTTTCGACACGAGCTAAGGCGACAGTGCAAAAGGGTGATTGGAGATAAAAGTCTAACATGACGAGACCTCGCGGTTGTCTCACTTGAGTCCAGCTGTGCAAGTATAAGAGTGCACAGACCTCTTTCGACGAATATCGGGCGCTGAGAAAGTTCATATCTTCTATGTATATCTTTCGAAGAAGCTTGCCGAGATTCATATGCTGCTTCATTCCAATCTAGAACAGTCTTGTTGATCAGGAAATTTGAGCTCCGCTCCCTTGATGAGAACATGCCAGTCTATTTTTTCAGTGGCTGGTTTTTTTATTTTATTACTTTTTCGTCTCCCAGATAAAAAGAGACAGTTTTTTGAGAGAGAATAATTTCTTAAGAGAGAATAAGAAATTAATGAGAGACAATTCCAATGCTGAGGGCAGGCAATGGGGCGTAATCCAAAGAAGATTCAAGGGCAGCAACAAGAAGTAAGTGCCTCAGCAAAGCAAATTTTTCGGAACGAACGCGCTAGTAAAAGTCTGAAATTTATTAAAAGTTGATTTTTCTTGTTTCACAGACGCTATAAGGAGGCTGGTCGTATTTGCTTCTTGTTGGGAAAGGGGGGAGGGGGTCGTCCTGGCCTTCGAAAATTGCAGCTCTGAGAAAAATTTTTTCCGACCGTTGACTTTTCGCGATATTTCCTAGTTCTTATGTGCTATAAACCCCTCCGCTTGGCGGTTCGATCGAATCAGATGAGGGAACTGGGGGGAGGGGGGAAGGTATCAATCCACCCTCTAGGAGAGCGGGAAGGTCGCACGGACTCCACCAAAATCCGTAACAAATGATGCGCCCTGGTCCTCACTGCAAAATATAGTTTATTCCACCATATATGCTCTCCTTCAAAAGATGAAATTTCGGCACCATTACGATTCCAAATCTCAAAAAAATTCCGCTGAAAGCCTGCCTATAGATGTTATTCAGCGCCCCACGAATATGACATCCAACTCCGACGCTGACACCCCATTCGATGAGTAGGCGCCGCTTTGACGCAATCACCTTTCTCACTGAATCGGACGAAAACCCGTACACAGATCTTATTCGTCATATTAATCATGGATCATGAATATAACACCCTTTTCTGAGGATGGCACCATTTGCCAACGAAGGGTACCAAGCTGGCGCCATCACCTTTCTCAACTAAATCCATGAGAACTTGCACAGTAGGGTTAACTGGTGTTCCGATCACGTATACGACATTCATTTTCAGACACAAGCACAGTTTAGCGCTCTGCTAAGGCTGAGCTTGGAGAAGGAGTGATTCCATCCCATCCAGCTTTTGCTTTAGCAGAACTCGGATTATCAGAGCGTCCCACGATTAGGACGTCAAATAATGGTAGTAGTGATAACAGAAGTTACTATCCCGGACCGGTAGATGGCAGTCTTCTTCAGGCATCGGGTGGTGTCGTGACTGACGCACAACCGTCCCTCGCAGGCTAATGGGGCGCCGGTAGGAAACCGCGCTCGGGTTGCACTGTCGTCGGTCCTACTACGAAAAGCATGATTCGCGGGGAACCGCGCACACAGTACTATTGTCATCACTTTTAAATCAGTCGTCGTCCTGCGCTCATCATGAGCGGTCGTGCAACCGGTGGACCAGCGCCGCCATTCCTTGTCCCAGTCTAACTTCGGTCCATGGTCTTTGCCTGTCACAACTGATCACTTGCTTCCATGTACTACTCCTCTCCTCCACCTCTAACCCCATCTTAATCGTTTGTACACATTAGTATCGATTTACCATTCATCATATGTGTTGTTATTTGACTGTAATGATTTTGTTGATGTTACCATTTACCCGTTTTCCTACATGAAGTTGTTGATGATACCGTGTTATGTCAGTGTAGTCATAGTGGGTAGGTAATGCATGGTTCATGCTCGTCTTCCACATAGCAAGGGGCAGGCCTTACGCAGCCCGTGGCAGGACCTTTGGGAGCATTCAGGGGCGCGATGTCCTTGTAGGAGGGTGCAGGCCCTTACAACCCCGCGTTCTGGCGTGACCCAGGTGCACCCCCGCCGATGCTAACTTCTTGTTCGCACCTGACCAGGACAGGTGGCATCACCTCACCTAACGACATCGGACATCCCATATTCTTTAGAACATTTGCGGCTTAAACTTGGGTGATCAAAATGGTTGGTGGTTCGACAAGCGAGGTTTTCTTTGAAACTTTTTTCACATTGGCCAGAAGACCAAGCAGGGCAGATATGAGTGAGAATATCGTGATATGTCAGTTTGATATGGAATCTATGCGGCGGCATGAAAACGTTACTAGATATATAGGAGCAAATGTTTGGGAGCGTATGGAGCTTGCTTTTGTTTGACTGCTCTATCGAACAATCATCCAAATTACACCGTTAGCACCATCAGCATTGGAAATAGCTGGAAAACTCTATCCAGCGCGTATTACTTGCTTAACAGCCCAATATTTACTCCCCAGTAGAAGTCGAAGCAATTGTGATGGGAATCGCCGGGATAATCACCAAAATCATAAGAAATTCTATGGTTGTTTTGACGGTCTTGATAACTT